GCTTTACCCTCATCTTTAATCGTAACTAAAATAATATTTTAGAAAAATGCTAAGACAAAAATAGGATGTTACATAGATTGCTGCTTCTTTTCCAAACACTTCTCAATATCATCGAGCACTTGAACAGCAGCCTTTGGAATTCGAGTCCCAGGACCAAATACATTGGAAACACCAACTTCATACAGAAATTCATAATCCTGTTGAAAGAATTTGTTTAATTAATAAGAGACACTACTTCCAGTTTCAAGGAAATAAAAATGATAATCCCTGTCCTTTCTTCTTTGCTCCCAATGCCCAAAACTTTCTCAATTGGTATAGTATTGGCATTTGGGACTAACAAATTCTTCCTTGATAGGGACTGCTACCAATAGCCAGGAGCTATTTATTTCCTCGTTAAGTATTTTGTCTGTGGCTAGCGAATAGTGTGCTACTTTGAATATGGCCTCATGATGGAATTAGATTTTCTATAAATGAAGATTAACTCATTTTTTCCATTCTCTGTTGCTAGTATTTGTTAGTTTACTTTAGTGGTAGTCAAAATTTGAGTGAAAAGATTTCCAGGGCATAAATACTGCTCTAGACTTTAGGCTGTTTTAACATCAGAACACTTGTAGCTATAACATAAAGGTTAGGAATGCTTTCAGCCCCCGATCCTTATTGACTAGGGAGATCACATATGACAAGACAGTCTGTCTGGTTTGTGCTTACTTTTGTAGCATCCTTTTTAATAGCACCTATTTCCACTCTCAAGTGATCATATTTGGATGATAAATTATATGGTTATGCTATTATCCCCCAGCCACTTCTTTTCTGTCTGTATTATATCCTTGTAGTATTCTTATAATACTATAATTTTGCAATGACACTTAACATCTTATTGAACTTGTCTTCTTCTAGTCTGTGAACTTCTGAGAGCAAAGATAATGTCCAATCATTTTTGTACTGCCAGAACTTGGCACATAAAGGCACTCAAAACATATCATGGTTCTTGAGCAGGTGGTATGTATTTTAAGAGCTCATAAGAAAAGTGGATGAAACATGTAATAACGATCAACTCCAAATTGAGAATAGATTGATAGGTTATCTCCTTCTCTCTTTCCTGATAATGCTGTGTACCATTTGTCCTGACATTTGAGTTACGAATTTGGAATGGAGAACTCAACTGGGAGAGAACTGCAAAATGTTGCAACTGAAAAAAAGGTTTTTGACTTACTTAAATTTTACATAAACCCTGTAAAATGTACCTTAGTGAGGTGATAAAATGTTAGCAATAAGTAAGTCTGGGTAAAAGGTATATAGGCATCCTTCATACTATTTTTACTTTGGCATGTTATTTGTTAATTTGAAATTATTTCCAAATAAAAAAGTATTATTTTAAAATGTCCTCCACTCAACTGGGCCAGGAATATCATATTGCCTGCTTCACGATGGTAGTAGGCATCATGAATCTGCTGTATTTGCCTAAAATACTTGGAGGTCACAAGAGGGTCTAAGAGTGTTAGGACATCTTGATTACTGTAACATATTGGTGAGGCTAGACCATAGTTATTTAATCAAACTGCAGCAACTGTTAAGCGCCACAATGGAAAGGACTACACCTGTTTGATTAACCACTATATGTTGGTGCCTTATTATTTAAAACCTAAGTGACTTTCAATTGAATAATAGCAGCATTTTATGTATCCAGTGCAAACAAATGAGAAAAATATAGGGTATCGACTGTTACTATTACATAATAAAGGACACCCATATTAACATAGAAATGTGACACAGAAAATGGTCCTTAGTCTTTAAATTCATGGGGAAAAAAGTATGGCAAACACCTAATTCAAATATCCAGATGGCTAATAAAAATTGTGTGAAATATACTTCTTGAAAATGTCAGCTCAGGCCTACATTTTTTCTGAACTCACGTTTCAATTCAAATATTTCCTGCTGCCTAATTACATTTTAATATCATGCCTAAGAGCTTTGGTATTACAGATTCTAAAACTGCAATATAGATAGAAGTGTTCCATAAATGTACAGCAATAAATAATAGCAGCCCTTTACCTTACAAAATAATAAACTACATTCATGAAAATAGGCAAGTGTGTCAACAAAAGGAATTTTGTGTTGACTACATCACATTAAATACTGTGTTGTTAGAAAGGAAATAAATGTGTAGTTTGTTCACTAGTCCCACATTATTAGTAATCTCACAATCTCATACCTATGCATTTTCTCATTTCATAAGTAGTGCATAAATTCATTATTCTATGTTCTGAGTGGTAATGGAGAAAAAAAATTGTAAAGCTGGAAATCAGGTTACATTTCACTGACAGATTCCTGTTATAGTGGTGGGGCCTTTGTAGCATCTATGAATCATTTACTCAGGACAGCCTTATATACAGTTCTTCTAAATCAATATTTTTTCCATTTTCAGTAAAAGAAGATTAACTTAGTATAATTGAAAATAGACCCTGTTTATACCTTAACTAATTATTTTAACTAATCAGAAATGTAATATGTAGATGTCTTCCACCTCATTAATAAATTAACTGACATCATTGTTACTTGGCATCCAATTCTCCTTTCCTAAGGGGATCCTCCACATTGTGGTTCAAGTATCCACCTTTTCCCCATTCAGCCTATAATTCTCAGCACAAACTGATTCCATTTATATCTGCATTAGGATATTTTTGGCTCCAAGAAAACCATACCCTAATCAAATTAGCTCAAACAGTAAAGGGGGTTTTACAGGACATGTAACTGACACAACTCTGAGGTAGGGCAACATTTAGGATGGGAACACGGAGGAAATGGACAAGGTAGCTCCTCTAAACAGAAGCAAACAAACTAAAGGACTCACTCACCATAGGGACACAGAGACCTCACTAGATCTTTGGCTAGGGTTTGACACTTTCGCTGTGTGCTTACCACTGTTCTCTACTCAAGTCGTGAGGTTTTATTACTCTTACCCTGTTCCTTCTTCATCACTGCTTATTGAATATGAAGAAGGTACATATCTATCATAGGTTACCGGTTTGCAAGGAGGTAGTTCTCTCAAAGAAGCTTTATAAACTGTCAAAGTATGCATAATAAATTACAATATATCTTAAGTAGAAAACAATATTGACTACTTTTGGATTCTATAGAATTTACTTAATGAAATCACCAGGAAATAATTTGGCTCTAAATCTACAACAAATTTACCTTTAGAACCACGTATAGCTATCATTACTCAGGATTCCCATCACAGTACTAGAAAAATATAGGAGATGGAAAATACCTGTGGTGGTATCACCCCTCCACACATGACAAGAATATCTGGCCGTCCAAGGGAGTTAAGTTCTTTGATGAGCTCAGGCACTAGGGTTTTATGACCAGCAGCAAGTGTGCTCACACCCACTGCATGCACATCTGCATCCACAGCCTGCTGGGCTACTTCACGAGGAGTCTAAACAATCAGAACATAAAGAGACAAATCATCATTTATTCCTAGGCAATGACTAAAAAAAAACTGTTTTAAAAGTGTTAGACTACTTAAATCAACTTTCCAAGATTTTCTTCATTTAAAATCTTAATGTGAATATCACTCCATATTTCATCATTCTTAAATCATAAATACCACTTATTCTATTGATGCAATAAACATCAATGCTATATTTGCTTCTAGCACTAGAATTTATCAATTAGGTTTTATATATAAAAGCTCTCCCAAACACTCTTCAAGATAAAGAAGCAATATCAGGAAAACAGTATCTCTCATTATAGTTTTTTTAAAGTACATCTGTTGTCTTCATTATCAACATTTATTGAGTGGTTGTGCAGTACAAGGCAACATGTTATATAGTATTTATGAAGAAGTAAAAAACTGAACACAGAATGCAATGTAAAAAAGGGAATCTTAGTTTTTAAAACAGTATGTGAGTGATGTCAGCATGATGGAGGAGTAGGAATGTCCAAACCCTTGTTCTCCCATAGAGACACTAAGTTAACAGTAATATATGGACCAAATATCATTGTGAAAATGCTAGAAACTAATTAAGGAGCTACAGCATCCAGGCAAGTGCATAAATAAAAGACGGGATGGTGCCAAGTAGTGTTTGCTTTTCACCTATTAACTGGATTTAATCACAAAGGATATCTGCAAGTAGTCAATTATGAATTGAGTTACTCAAGATCATATCCACTCTCTGCAATGTTCGTGACATTGCTTTGCTAATCTACATGTACTTAAATCATTTCACATAAAAGGTACCTACAAAGGCCAGGCTCCCTCCAAAGGCTCTAGAGAAGAATACTTTCTTGCCTCTTCCTAGCTTCTGTTGGCTGCCAGCAATCCTTGGCATTCTTCAGTTTGCAGCAGCATCACCTCAATCTCTGTTTCTGTCATCACATGGCCTTCTCCCCTATGTGCCTGTCTTCTCTTCTTATAAGGATAACAGTCATATCGGATTTAGGGTTCACCCCATTCCAGTATCTTAAGTAATTACATCAGCAAAGACCCTATTTCCAAATAAGGTCACATTCAGAGCCTCGGGGTGAACATGAATGTTGGGAGAACACTTTTCAATCCAGTACAGCATCTTCTCCAACAAACCCATCTTTACTTCCTCAAGAACTATCTCAGTCAATGCCACCAGATTCTAAGCTGAAAATCTGGAAATCTTTATTAAGACTCTCCCATTCTCTCAAAGTCCACATTCACTACCAAGTACTATAGGTTATTTGCTAAATATCTTTTAGTTCTTTTGCCCTAGTACCACCCCAAGATTCATTCTCTGCCCTGCTCAGTGCCTCAGAGACTGAACCCCTACATAAGACTCCCCTGTTCTCTGGCTCTGGATAGATTTTCCCAGCGGAAGAAAAAGAGGTCAGTATATTTTTTCCATGCTTCCTCTCTGCCATGACACCATGATTCTGGCAGAGGTGTGTCCCTCTGTGACAAATTTTTAATCAGGTGACCCTCTTCAAGTGGTGTGTGGTAGTGACTACCCACCTCACCAGAAAAAAAAAGTAGGCATACACACACACACACACACACACACACATTTTAATAATATAAAGAATTTGTAAAGACAATTTACAAATAATAAAATATTTGACATGCTTTACTGTAAACAGCAAAGTATTAACTGATTTTCACAGATTGCTTTCATTAAATTTTGCCAAACTTTTATATTTGCACCCAACCTATGGTTGCAATTCAATCATGATTTGACAAAATCAGACTACAGATAAATGCTTAATTATGATCTGATTCAGCAAAGAAGTTACTCATGTCATTGAGGAATAAGTATAGTTATGACACCGACTGACTTCGATATTTTATTTTACATTAGAGATTAAGAAGAAAGTAAAACATAGACGTATGTCATAGCTTCTCTTGTTTGTAAGTGATGTGAGTGATGTCTGCTAAATTTGAATATTTCCTCAAATTTTGGGGCTCTTCACAATGTCATGAATACAGATATAACAAACTTTTAAATTTAATTTGTAGGGCTGGCCCGGTGGCGCACTGCGCTAGTGCGCCGCTTGGGAAGCGCGGCGGCGCTCCCACCGAGGGTTCGGATCCCACATACAGACCGGTTCCCGCTCACTGGCTGAGCGAGGCGCGGGGGCAACACCGAGGGTTGCGATCCCGTTGCCGGTCCCGGTCCGGTACGGTACGGGGGCGACACTGAGGGTTGCGATCCGTTGCCGGACATGGAAAAAGACAAAAAATAAAAATAAAAAAATAAATTTAATTTGTATTACTTACATTTTCTTCATTACATCTATACATCTAGATAATCAAGAAAACAATAACTCAATCCTAATCTTCAATGTCTGCTGATTTCTATGTTGTGAATATTCCAACCATAGCCAATTTCAATCTGCCAATGTGACATTATGAATGCAAAGCAGAAAAAAAGATGCACAGTATCCACACAGTTATATGGTATCTCCATCATATAAATACGATAGATGGAAATAACTTCAAGAGCATAGATAATAAAAAAAAATCTTGTACGATAAATAGAAAGTGATGAGTTTTGAGTACATATCACCTTTGCTTTTAAAATAATTTATTTAGTAATATCAATGGCAATGTGAAACAACTGGCTTTTGAAATATTTAAAAATTTATTTTCCAGATGTCTCACTATTCTTTGCTGGTTGTCCTGCCTACATATCTGCAAATAGCCCCTTCATTAAATTTTCTTCAAAATCTGAGATTTGGATTCTTCCGAGACCCTGGCATTGCCTTAGTTAAGTCCTTCCTTGTTTCTCACCAACATTACATATCTTAGCCAGACTCATTGCATCTAGTCAAAGCTCCCCTCAATCCACTTCAGAAAGTGATTTTACTAGACAGTGAGCTTTCCAAAATATAAATTTGATTGTGTCACAGTATTCAAATACCTTTGGGTTGAAGTTCAAACTTCCCAGAATGGCAGCACATAAAGTTATCCATAATCTACACCATATCCAAGTACTGTATTCTAACTTTAGTGAGCCTCTTGCAGTGACCTGAAGGCATCATTCTTTCTCATGGCTCTGTACATCTAATCAAGCCAAATCTTCTTTGTAGCATGCCCTTCCCTGCCTTGTTTTCTAGGCTTCAAAAGGCACAACTCAAACATAAGTTCCTAGGATACTTGAAACAAGTGAGGTGCCCTCCATGTCCACACCTTAATTATAGTAATTATCACACTGTGCTGTGATTACTGGTAAGTAAATCTCTCTTTGTTAGGAGACTGTAACCTCCCTGAAAACAAAATGTTATCTTACTTAACTTAGAGCATAGCATCTGGTGGGTGATTAATAAATATAAATATTTAGTGGACAAAGCATTTAAAATAAAAGTTATGACAATGTACTTATCAGCCAAGGTTGTTGTTTGTTTGTTTGTTTGTTTTATAATAGAATGTTTTAAAATACAATAAATTATCATTGTATAGGGAATTTCAATCTCATTTACCTCCAACAAATTATTTTCTTGTCTGGGTCTAATAGTCTGTGACTAAATAATATACTAGTAGAGAGTAAATAAAAGAAAAAAAAAAAAACCCAGAATATCTACTTTGAATTGAACTTACTCTAATGTTTGATTTCATTTTCAAAACACTTTCCACCAATCTCATGTGGGCTATCTTTCCCACAAAATATTAATCAAATCTCAATAATGAACACAATAAGATCTTTGAAATTAATCTTTACGGTTTCTGAAACCTAATAAAAATTTTAGTTGTGAACTGACATTTACTTTTGCAAAGTCTAAATAAACATAAATTATATTTTATTTTTAATTCTGTCATAATTAATTGGGTAACAGGCATTCAAAAATAGAGTAGAGGTGCAGCCTGAGAGATTGTGGGAAGATGGCAAAGTAGAGGTGCCCAAGGTGCATTCTTCCTGCAGAAGACCAGTGCAAGCCCACCACCACCTCAGTCACTGATGACACTTTCTGGTCCCAGGAACACTGCCCACCTTCCCACAGAGATATTTGTCCCGCTCCCCACCAGAGCTGCCAGCAGCCACCCACACTGCATGGGACTCATCATACCACCACAACACCAGCCACCCTGGCTGCTCACAGGATCCCTCGCCGTCACTACAGCAGTCATCCCAGTTGTGCACAGGCCACCCCACCACTGCCCATTCAACTGCACTGACATGAGGAGAGTCACAAGATGGAACTGCTAGAAAGAGATGAGTAAGTGCAAACCCGTGTGCCAGTGGCTTAACCCACAGGGAGAATTATGCAGTCCCTGTGGTGTGCATCTGGGGCTGCGAGCTATGTGTGCAACCTACACAACAAAATAGACACATCATTAGTGAGAATAACTAAAAAGAAAAAGAGAAGACCCAAATAACAAACAGAAATGAAAATGGAGACACTACAACAAATACCACAGAAATACAAAGAGTCATTTTACCCTATTATGAACAACTACATGCCAATGAATTAGAAAACCTGGAGGAAATCAATAAATTTCTGTACACATGCAAACTACCAAGACTGAACCAAGAAGAAATAGAAAACCTGAACAGACCAATAACAAGCAATGAGACTGAAGCATAACTCAGTAGTCTCCCAACAAAGAAAACTCCAGGAGTGGATGGCTTTACCACTGAATTTTGCCCAGGACCAAATGGCTTTACTGCTGAACTCTATCAAACCTTTAAGGAGGAATTAATACTAATTCTCCTTAAACTATTCCAAAAAATTGAAACAGAAGAATTCTCCCAAACTCCTTCTATGAGGCCAGCATCACCCTGATACCAATATCAGACAAAGACACAACAAAAAGAGAAAACTACAGGCCAATATTCTTAATGAACACAAGATGCAAAAATCCTCAACAAAATATTAGCAAACAAAATACAGCAGCATATCAAAAATATTACACNAAGACTCTCCCATTCTCTCAAAGTCCACATTCACTACCAAGTACTATAGGTTATTTGC